CCCCAAAACCCCAAAACCCCAAAACCCCAAAACCCCTTAAATATAGTAGAAGATTGAATCAAACATCTTTTTTAAACCAGTGTTTAATGTTTAGAGAGGATAGGATCCATTGATGTAGTAGCTTGAGATTATGATGAGCATGATGGCTGAGGGTCTCTGATTATCTGGAAGCTTTGCTTTGGATGAAGTCCTTGGTGTTCTTCGTCTTCTGTGATAGTAAAGAACTCTGAAAATCTTGATTTTTTTAAGGTTTCAGCAGTGTTTTGGCATATAGATAATGGCTCATCTTTGATAAATGTATAATTTTTATCAAATTCAAATTTCTCAGCGAAATCTGTCATCTTTCCATTGTATGTCGCTAGATTTCCATAATCTTCACATCTTTCTTCCAAAGTAGAAATTTTAAAAGCTCTCACAGTAATGGAATAATAATTAGCTTTTAAATCATAGCTCCCTTTAATTTTGATTTTTCTTAGAGAACAAATTCTAATATCTCTGAACCCAATATCTCTCATAATCTGTTTGAAGTCCTCTACATATAATGAACCTGCAAGTCCTTCGCCCCAAAGTTCTTTATTTTGTTTTATCTCTTCAGGAAGTCTTCTGTCACAATACATATCACTAAAATATAATTCACCTCCTTCTTTGAGAACTTTCCATGCTTGCCTAAGTACTTTTTCTTTGTCAGGGCAGAGATTCACAACACAATTAGAAATAATTACATCAACTGAACCTTCTTCTATTGCTCCAGTATCCACATAGTCTTCTACATACCCTTGTATGAACTCAGTATTAGCAAATCCGAATTTTTCAGCATGATATTCTTGATATTCTTTGGCAACATCAATCTGTTCTTGAGTCATATCAATTCCAATCACTTTTCCAGTCTCCCCGACTAATTTGGAGCATATGTACACATCTCTCCCAGTTCCAGAGCCTAGATCTAGAACAGTTGCCCCTTCAAGTCCTTCTGGGATGGGGTTTCCACATCCATAATACCTATAAAAGATATGAGTTTAATCAAATTTTATGGAAACTTTTTTCCAAAAAAACTTACTTCGCGATAACATCATCATGAACTTCTCTAACAGCTTTACAAGCAGATTTATAAAATTTCTTCCCCAAAGGTGTACAGGCATCTGTCTGGAGATCTTCAGAGTTAGTCAGCTTCTTTCCATAGTACTCCTTCATAGCTTCTTTTACCTCTTCAGGATTGCTTTTTGGATCCATATTCGATTTTTTAATAATTTAGATATCGGATGTACAGTTAAATATTATTCAAGTAGTCTCCAATTACTCGGGGTTTTGGGGTTTTGGGGTTTTGGGGTTTTGGGGTTTTGGGGTTTTGGG